AAATAATAATTTTTAATGCTTCAAATAATTCTTTATACTTAATAAAAGTTTTGAAAATTGTTCTTAAAAGTTCAACACAATTTAAATGCAACAAGACTATAGTAGAAACAATTTAAAATAGTTTAAAAAACGTTTTCCTGAGATCTCAATTAAAATTTCATAAATAAATACAGTACTAAGCATTATTACCATATAGTATCCAATATGCTATATAATGACTTAAATTAACCCTCATATAATTAAATCAAGTAACATTTATAAACGAGTTAAAAACTTCTATTCACAATAAATAATCGCTTTAAATAAATAATATAGTCAACGTAACTATCGATAGTTAGAAATACTTTTGCGATAGTATCGTTCAGCACAATAATTCGAGAGTTGGCTATCGACAAAAGCAAATTCACACAATCGATTGTACTATTGGTCATCCCTAGGCGCCACTAACTTCTGAATCGATAGTCCTGTTATTGAATGGTCGGGCCGTTGACTTTCTTTGAAGTAGGAAGTATAGGGAGTTGACCATCTGTGGCCGGCACTTGCCGAATAGTATGTTTGGCAATCGAGGCAAATATGAGTTCAAAAGTTTGTTCGTGAACTGAATTATTTGAAATGCGAGACGTTCGAAACCCGAGGTTTGACTGTATTTTAAAATTATTTTTTAAAAATACAGTCGAGGACATGTAGGGGACAAGATTAACGATTATTTAGTGCTTATAATCAGAGCCGACCATAGGGCAAACGGAGCAGCAGCTCCAGGCGCTAAATCCTAGGAGGTGCCTCAGTGGTAAAGAAAATTAAAGGATATAAATTAGGGGCAACCAAGGGGGTTGCCCCTAATAGGGGGTTGCCATAATAGGATCTCGCTCCATCCTGAAACTTGCCTCGGGCCGGCACTGCTTATAATGTTCTTGGAAATACTTAAAAATGCCATCAAAACTAAGAGTCCACCTGAGCTGAAATACAGTACATCAGCGGCATATAAATGGCAACTTTCCGTCTTCCTGTTATATAAACGATTAATCTTGCTTTTTATGTTTATCCACTTACGTTCATTTATACTTTCCCGTGGACTGTATTTCTTTTAGTAGAAAATTTTAAAAAGTGTTTAAAAGTTTTTTTACGATTATATTGCGCAAATTAAGATCATCCATAGGCTACTTAAAAGAGACAATTTGTTTATTTGAGCCGTTTGAAAAAATCAAAAATTTCAACTTTTTATTTAAATATATAAAAATCCACCTTAACGAAAATTTTCCTTCAAAAAGAGAACTTGTCCGAAGAAAAAGAGGATATACCGTGACGAATTTTTTTTTCATTTCATAAAATGAAACAATGTAAAGTAACTTATTTACATAAAAACCGAAAAGGAGGGGCTAGAATATACTCATTTACTCATCAAGAAGAAGGCGTTGGAATCCGGTGAAATTTTTTTAGTGTAAACGTAATGCCAATGTTAATAAAATAATAGAATATCATAGCAAAGGGACAATTTCTTAATGGAACAACGGTAAAATTAAAAAAAGAATCTTTACTATTTGTATGATTTCTTGACTGAATACATGCGGCAATATGGTCGGCCATGGATATATACTGGCACTGTGTACTATCTTTTGACAGATTTTGCCCACAGATGTTGTAACGCCGGTCCAGATCTCTCATACTTGTGAATAGCCAAAGCTGGAGTCTCATCTGACTCCATAAATGCTTGATGGCTTTCCACACCAGCATGCTAACGGAGGATAGTGTGCCGTTTAATTTATAATAATAAAAGTGGGATTGAAGCACTGATTAGAGATCCTCCATAATCGGACAATACAGTACGTACGAATCAGAGACATAGCTGTGAAATTTTGCGATGTGCTATATGTTTTGCAGCTGTATGTGAAAGGACAATTATAAGTGAGTAGAGCCCACCAGTGGCCAAGTGATAAAACCATTGAACACTGGTAGCCGGTTGTGGATTCGCACCTCGCCAACGAGCAGGCCATGTGAAATTTTTCACGTTTTCTTCACGTTTGTAACACTTGAATATGGCCAATTTCTTATAAAAGACTTCCCGGGAGATATCACCACTCGGCAGATCTCCCAAGTGTTGCGTCGCTGTAACCAAGTAAGCCAATAAAAAATCCCGAGTGAGTAACTTTCTTTTTGTAATGTGTGTATGAGAATTTCTTCAATACAACTTACAGCAGAGATATATAGATAAATAAATTTTCATAATGGATTTGGCCAGGCCCACAAAGAGGCGATCGGGTGTTCAAGGACGAGAACTGACGTATCCGAGACGGACCGCGCGCGAAAAGTTCCTGGGATATTTCACCCACCAGATTTACATCCCGGATCCTCCAGAGCAGTAGGCTAACGCATAACCTCCTGGCGAGTAATATTATTTACTTTACTCTTTGATTAGTAACTTGTAACCACAATTAAACATTATACACAGTCTGTACAGTACGTACGGGATTTGATTGATTCGATACCCAATGATGTACAAAGGCGCAGAAAAATAGAAAACTTAATTAAATTATAATATTCTTGTTGGATACTTTGTTTTTAACATATAGCGTAATCGATGGCAATCGCTATTACGTACAGTACTATCACCAGAAAGAACATTGAATAAGCCCGCTTCAACGTTGAATCGGGCTTATTCAACATTCACAGTGTTGTTTTTCTCAATTGTACTAATATTTAGTAATTATTTAAATTAAATATTAATTAATTATAATAGTCAATAGATCAATAATTTAATAAATATTTATTTATATTATTTTTACTTTTATAGAAAGATTTGAACACATCAGCGCCTTCTATTATGATTTTGTGCGTATTCAACGTGGATTTGATTCGAAAATATCTAATTCTTTACTGTAGTCTTTTCATTTAAACAGTTATTAACAGAAAATTATAATTGGAAATCCAATTTATATTAACCAGAAATTTAAATAAAGTAAGTTAGTTGTTGTTATTTTTTAATAGGTTAATGGTTCCAAACTGGCGGCGTTTCGGTTAGGTTCGTTTCTTTTCCGTTAGATTAGTTACATTTTAGTAGACGTTTCTTTTATTTATTTATTTATTTTGTTCAAGAACTACCATGAATCAATAACTAGTGACGTTTGGCACTAGGCGACCTGCCAGGGCTCCCCTCCGGGAGGAGTCCGTCTGGACCACGAACAGGCGAAAGCGCCGCCATTTTGGAACCATAGGTAACATTAACAGCAATCTTTAATATTTATGATTATGCTTATAAAATAATGGACAGTCTTCTATACTTCTTATACAGTATGGCCGGTGTAGCCATGATAACAGTCAATAAACGCTCAGATAGAAGATCGTAATCATCGCAGTAACACCTTAAATTTTAAGTGTTATTGTGATGATTACAATCTTCTATCTGAGTGTTTATTGAACGTTTATAAAATAGTTAATTTCAAGTAATTGATAAATACCCATCAACGGCAAAATGAATAAAACCATTGAACATAAACGGCACTTTATCAATGAATGGGCTTCTTCTTCTATGTGTTTCATATGGAATGAATGGGCTTCTTCTTCTTCTATCTGTTTCATATGGAATGAATGGGCTGGCGTGTGTTTTCCGGGTAATCTTCACTAATTACGGGTTAGTTTGCCATTGAAACTCTTTCCGAGAGACTGATCTTCCACATGTTACGTTGCCTAAACAATTGATGTGCCTTACTGTTCATTCCTAGATCTAAAGCGATATCTACTGAATGAGTTGATACTATTTATAAAAGCGATAATATGAGAGCTGCCATTCCAAATATCACGTAAAGTACAAACCCATGAATTTCATGATATGATCATTAATAAATTTTAATTAATTTTATATATTTTGTATGTATATTACAGTATATAAAAACGTATTTTCACACACGGAACGGTTTAATTGTTCTAAGTTTTAAAATATTGTTACATTCGAATTTCATCGTATTTATTTTTAATATGTCGAAGAAGGCGTAAGTTAGGAGAAAATGTTACTTCTTTAATAAATATAGAATAGATTTCATTAATAGAATAACATTAATTTATTGTTGTTTGTATTGTTAGATCATTTATAAAAGGAACAGATCCTTAGGTGTTAGATTTTCATTACTGATCAATACACTAAGATTCGATAAAGCGAACATTATTACTCAATGACTAAGAATGAGAAAACTTCCATTACCTTGGCTTGTTTGAAACTATTCATGGGTTCAAACAAGCCAAAATTATTTTTGTAAAATATCTTTGGTTGCCTTAATTCAGCAGTATCACCTCTGAAAAGTTTCGAAGCATGGTTATCCCGGATACGTTGAGTTCCGTCCCTCATCATCTGGCCTCCCTTTTGTGGGCCTGGCAAAATCCACGAAGAGCCTGAAAAAAGGCCCTCTTAGTGCCCACAGGGCGGAAAGAGTAAAAACAAAAAATAATTCCAACATTGTGTTTAAAAAGATGAGTGCCGAGGAATTTGAAGGTAACTTATTAAATAATATCTGTCGCAAACTATGAAAAAGGAAATCAGGAATCTCAAAGCTAGCTGGACTTTTTCAAAAAAATGATGAGAATAAGCATCGTCATAATTTACTATAAATTAAAAATAATAATACTAATCTCTTCAGAAGAAAAGAAAATACCTTGCAAAATATTGAACGTATATAAAAGAAATATTTTAATTAAAATATAAAACAAAATGTTTTGAAAAGAACTGAAAAGAAATAAAAATCAATTCAGAAAGATTTATATTAGTTAAATCAACAACTGGTGAATGAAATTTGAGGAAACATAAACAGTCAGTTCATTTTTCACGGCGTATGATTAAAGTCCGGAGGTGGGCATGTGAACACAAAACAATATTAGTTATACAGTATTAGTAAATTTTGAAATACGAGTATTAAAGATATTGCGATATTGACCTATAAATTATGAATATTATTCATAAAATGAAAAATGTTCCAATCATTAGAACAGAAATTATTAAACATTTTATTTAGAAGATTAATATAGAATTTTTTTTATCTCTTCCTTTATCCTCCTGCTTATATAAATTTTTTGTTAGAAAGTAAGTACTCCTTATTTATATATAATAGATTGTTTGTTAATCAAATAAATATCCTTATTTATTGAATAAGGGAAAAATTAGAAAATTTTTGTAGTCAAAAACGTTGTTATATCTTTAATGTCTTTCGATTTATTTCTTATAATTTAAGATTTTATTTTTTATAAAAATATTTTAATATTATTATAACGTATTACTTTAACGACATGCCATAACGTGGGGATAGTGCATGTTTTTGACATGCACTATTCTCATGGGCAAACGAGCATTGGAATTCGTTGGCTGAGTTTTATGTGCTATGAAAAAAGGTGACATTCTGATTGCATCTAATGACTGAGTATTGAAACTAAAAAAATGCGTCGTGTTCTTATAAAACTGCTGCTACGTATCCTACGATGTAATCAGCTTTGGTCAAGTGCATTAAAGAGGTATGTTCAAAAGGTGTCAGTCTTTGTGTTGGTAATACTCGTAAAACGGCGAAGCAAATCCTTCTCCAAAATTACACAAACGATTCATCAACATTTAGGGCATCGCTTGGATAGTTCATCTGTTTGCTGAGCAGACATAAATTGGTAAAATGTCGAGTCACTAGTGTAGGAGAGAAATAACCGATTACGCATCCAATATTGTACAATTAAAATGAACACATACCGGAGTATGAATTCGTTGAAAATTATGATGAATCTCTATTCTGGTTTGATTGCCAGATAACTATACCATCGATTTTAAGGCTGTTAAGACTGTTAAGTGCAAGAAAACTGGAAAAGAAAAAAATGCGCTATTCTGTTGGGCTGACGTGTATGATCCCAAAACACGAAGTTTGTAAATTGTCTCCTATGTTTGTATTTCGATTTGAAAACCCCCCGAAAGGCTGCCTTGTGTATGAAACGAAAGATGGACTAATGATAGCAAAGATGTTTATAGAAGGGTATAATCCAAAATCTGGAAATACCCGGCTCAATTAACCGAGAGTCATGACAGTAACTCCGCGCCAAGTAAAAAAGTCACTGAATGAGTATATATACAGGAGTCAGAGTTACCGATTTCCGGGGGTCGACTTCTCCGCCCTCTAAACGCTTAATAGTAATTCCAAATACCTCGTTCGAAAGATAATTGATTTCTTAGATGTTATGGAAAATTTCAAGAATTTCTATAGAGGTTGCCGAAATATAAGTAGTTGAAAAGTGCAAAAATATCCAAAAAGAAAACAATATTTTCTTCATCCCGCACGGCAGACTCTCCTAGAGAAAAAAACACTGGGTCTCTAGAAAGCTCAAATTTTTAACAAAGTCTTTCTCTTTATTAAGGTGAAGAAAAACCAGAAAACTCCACGTGGCCTGCCCATTGGCCATGCCCAAACCCATGACTAACTAACTATCAATGTTCGGTGATTTTATCCAGTCGACTACTGGAGGGCGCTTATTAGAATTCTTTCTTTTCAAGATCTATAAACATAAGGTCAAGAGCATCGCGGCAGTCACCATGTTGGGGCTCTTTTGATGTGTACGGTGTTTCTATAGCAAAGCTGATAGTTTGTTTCTTTCGATCTCAATTAGTTGGATTTCTTGTTATATATATATATATATATTTTAGAAATGGTTTGTTATTCAGCACCGAATTGTAAAAATTTGACAGCCAAAGGTGTAAGATTGTTTCGTTTTCAAATCCAGGAGACTAAATGGCTTCAATATTGCTTGAATATATTCAATAAGAAAAGTTCAACTGAAATTTAGTGCATATTTTATAATTATTATCCTTTTATAAATTCATATTTTGATACAAATAATGCTATTTGCTGTATGTACTGTCATTCAGTGTGATCATGTTGCATTTTCTGAGATAACAGTTTTAGTTAAATTGGAAATACAGTATCAAGTTACTAATAGAGATTTAAATATTTTGTAGTTAGATGAAATCAAAAATCCAGTATATAAACTACTTTAATATTTAACACTTATTATAAAATGTTTGCAGCATACATCATTAAAGTGGTAACATCATCACTAAACATGATTCTCAGATCAGTACTAGTCTATAGACTGTTTGTGGTAAAGTTTTAGTTTTCTGACGGGTTGTATAACAACATTATGTAATTTATTAACCCATAAACTGTCAGAATACATTTGTATTTATTAATTTTATGTTATGGCATATTACAGATTGATATGTAGACTATTTGTGGCAGGATTCTGAAAATTCTTTACTTGTCTAAACCTGTAATATCTTGAACGCATGTCTTAATTTTTTACCATGCCCAGTAACTTAAATAACTGCATTATGCCAAGTTCTGCAAATTGGGCGAGTATGAAGTATGCTAATATGTAGTTTTTCTTCATAAGCTTGATTATTAAGCCAAACGAACTGCCGAATTATCGGACTATAAGTTTGATACCATTGTTAAAGCAGCCGAGGTAGACAAATCAAGAATAATAGATAGCAAAAGAAGTACTGCAACGCATCTCTAAAACGAACTAGAAATCTTCCAGGCTACGGGTGAAAAAACACATAGCATCCGTCTTCTCTTAAATGCATTAAAGACAATTCCACCCACATGAATTGAATCGAAAAGAGCATTCTCGGTAGCAGGACTTTTCTTTAGTAAAATAAGAATCAAATTGAGTGATCGGAGTATCTTTGCTTTTTAAGATCTTATTATAAAAATTTACAATAATATTTTGTATTATGTTTTATTTAAATAACGAAAATTATCTTCTAAGTTAGAAAAATAAAATTTCATTTTTTGATAAAAGTTTTTTTTTTCTTTTCTTTAAATTTTCAACCCAATTGAAGGACATTTTAGTTGTAAGTAGTTTCCAACAAACTTTAATAAACTTTTTCTATTTGTGAAAATTTCTACGTAATTCAAAAGTAATTTTTATACGTATTTTACACAGCATTATTAATATTATTACCATTCGGTTTTAAGATTTATTTTATATCTAAAAAATAATTATATCCCCGGGATTCCAGGAAACAGTTCATTTTTTCCCGGAATCCCGGGACAAGCAAAAGACCGGGAAATGAGAAACCTTAATTCTGATGTTATGTGTTTTGGAAAGTTCAAACAGGGATTCGTATTACACAACCACATATGCATTTTTTTCTTTTTTGACTTTTTTGGCTTCAGGGACTCTGAAAACGTGGAAATTTGCAAATAACTTGGAAAGTCAAATTTGACAAGGTTGCAATACTTTATCTTGTTATGTATATGTTACTGTGAATAACCGATATCTGGCGAATGTCAGCATTCATACAGTCGTTTCATGTATGTACGAATTATTTGCTAAATATCATTATTTCTCACTTACACCGGCAAATGTCGACATTCAGCATGCACTGATGGTGAATGTTGAATAAAAATATTTTTATTGCGTTAAGACAAAAATGCAACTTTTTAATATGTCAAAATAGGAGAAAGCTTAAGTAACAGCACATGTAAATAAACTGTTGAACCAAAAACGAACAGTACGCTGTAAATCATTATATAAAATAATACAATAATAAACTTACATAAATTATGTGATTAACATTACACAATCGTTACATTACATTTCGGGCATCTGTACGACCACGGTCGACATCAGGGACTCAAATTGGTGATTCCGTATGAATACAAATTCGTACGGAATCACCAATTTGAGCAGAAGGAAACGGCGAAGAATTTGGCGACAGACTGTCGCCTCTCTGTCGATATCGGCTTCTCTGGTGTCGTTTCGACCTCCACCAAAGCTTATCTGTGCTTGTCGACATACACCGGCGATTGTTCGAATGTATAATAATATAACCATATTATTTCACCGACGTATTTTGTATGTGTCGACATTCATTGGAAAATATCGCCATTCTCTAATTTCGGTCTTTCACAGTAACAGTTATATCCATTTGTAACCAGTTATCTAAGGATTCAAATGCAGGTGTCTAAGAGATAAATGTGTAATTCGATTTTCTATTGTAGTTTTAGTAAATGAAAGAATAAAAAACTTATGGATTGCTACATTGGCTGCCGAACAAGATTCACTTGAATTAGGCAGCCATTGATAACTCATTCAGACAAGAAAAAATTATTATAGATGTCATTTATCAAACAGCAATATTCAAAATCCGTGGTGATAAGCTTAACATTATTAAATAAAAAATATGGCCAAAATAGGACCATCAGCTAAAACAGATGGCTTTTGTAGAGAATTATGGTGTGCACTACATGCTTGCTTCAGTGAATATCGTAGTTTTCTAGGCTTATATACTACGGTAACTACAAAACACCTTACACATTATAGTATTTATTCTTATCGTTAGTACAGTCTTCAAAAGTATTATCCGTAATCTTATAAACAAGCAAATTTTAACTTCGATAAAACACGAATAGCGTCAACAGTAAAACAATTCCACTTTTCAATGTTCCTATTTTACTCACTAGGCAGCATTAGTGCTTTCCATGGATGACTATAGAGATGAAATTTATTTTTATATATTATACCACATTACATTATATATATATTGATATTTGTGTATATTTTTCTGTTACAGATCAACTAATTCCTTATTAATAATGGATGATGAATGTATTTTGAAAGAATCTCTAGTTGATATTAGTACGAATCTGGAAAAAATTCGTAGCACCAAAACAAAATTAAAAATGAAATATCTTTCTACTAAAGAGACTGCTTCATTAATTATGGAAAGAATCAAGACAGAGATATTTATTGAGTTTGATGAAGTTTTAAAGTTAAAACTACAGTCTTTGGATAATATGGAGAAGGAACAAGAAGAAAAATTTTCACGTTTAAATAACGATAAAAACTATTCTGAAACTGAAAAATCCATTTCACTAATTAGAGAAACCGAATTACTCGACGAGAAACTCTCTTCATATCTATATTTCGATTTTGTAGCTGATGACACATTTGAGGCTAAATATTCGATTGGTTACCTTCAAACTTGTCCAGTTAAGCCAGAAAATTTAACTCTGGAAATTAAAAACCAAAGAAAATACAAACTCGGAACAGAGTTAGAAGTTTGGGTTAAAAGTAGTAAACCATGGCATTCTTCGTTATTACGTTCATTATCTGGATGTGCAGAAGACCCAAATGGGATGAGAGTGATACCAAGAATAATAGATAAGAATGATGGTTGTTATATATTTTACTTCTGTTTCGATAGCTGTTTTAGTTATCGTATTCAGATTACATTATACGGTCGTCCCATAAAGAATAGTCCTATTATTGTCGAAATTGAACCTGAAATGCCGAATAAATCTAACACAATAACGAAAACATAACATTCACCAAAATGGAAAGATAATTGATGTCAATGTCGAAAGATACATCGTTAAAAATAAATCAGGTAAAAGCAGCTGCATTTCAATAAAGGAAGACCAGAATCAACATGAACAAAAACTATTTCGAATTATATATAAAAAAGAACTTAATCCCATTATGAAGTATCGTAATGAAACTGATTTAAATATAAACCAAGAAATTATAAATGTCAATTGTATGTCATTTATAAAACAAATGTATTTGAGAACGAAATGCCAAATATTAAATCTGAAGTGGACAATATCAGCGTGAAGAAAACTTAAGACAATTCAAGGTAGCTTGTATCTTAAAGGAAAAATAATCCTCAGTCTGTGGCGCACAAAAAATTTATAATTTGGTTTTTGGATGTTCTAGTTAATAGATAGCGTTTTTGGCAGAATGTTTAAAACGGTCAGTGAGGTTTTCATCCACAACATTGATTCTCGTTCTTAATTAACAATCTTCGAAAATTGCCATCATAAAAACTTATAAAAATTTGTAATATTAATTCAATAAAATTCATTGATTATAAAAATTTATATTTTAAAGAATAAAATTCAGTTTTCTTTTTACAAAGCTGTTCAATTACTTTAGTAATGGTTCTTCAATTTCTCTGCATGTATTTAGCCTATAGCGAAGTCAGTCCGTTCGATCGTGATTATGGCATGGTAGATCTTAAATAATTTTTTAAAAAGCATAACATAGAAAATGACTTTTCACTGATACATTGTTACCGGAAGCGTTGCAAGTATTACTTTTACGGCCGTTATATATAACGGAAAGTATAGTGATGGATCAAAAAAAGAACTTCAGATTTTTGTATTTTTGGGCTTAAGGGACTTCGAAACGTCGAGAAATGCAAAAATTGGATTTATTTCCTATATGTATGGATGTTTGTTTGTGTTGGGAGCACGATGTTTTGTTTATCCACTTTGGAGTTTGTGTTTTTTGTCGAAAATTTCAGATATTTTGCATTGAGATTTGTGTATTAGAGGAATTGAGGCTATTAAATTTTTGTGGTTAAAGGTTAAAGGGGTGGGAGAAAGAGGAGTGGTATTTCGAAAGGGTCGGACTTATTGTTCTGGTTATTAGCATTTACAGGATTTTAAAAAATAAAACTCGTGTAAAATAAAACATCAAAAGATTTAATTTTGAGTGTAGCTCAAAATTAAATATTTTGTCGTTTTATATTGTAAAAAGATGTTTTTAATATGTCATAACAGATGGCGCCATACAGAATGCTAACTTTATTACCGGGAAAGTTACGCAACTCGTTTATGGATTTAAAAAAGAATTTATAGATATCAGGACTACCCGCCAAGTAAAAAAAGTCATTGACTATATATATACAGGAATCAGAGTTGCCGATTTTCGGAGGTCGATATTCTGAAGTACAGTGTGAGATATCTCGTTCGAAAGAAAATTGTTTTCTGAGATAGTGTGCAAAATTTCAAGATTTTCTATAAAGCGGTTGCCGAAATATAAGCAATCGAAAAGTTCAAGAATCGTCCAAAAAGCTGTATTTTCTTCAGGTTCTTAATCCGGCACCGCAGACGCTCGTAGAGAGAGAGAGAGAAAGAGAGAAAAGAAAGCAGGGTCTAGAAAGCTGAAATTTTAAATTTAAGTATTTTTTTCGTTATCAGTGAGATGCTGGCGAAACTTTCGAGTCGATAAGTCAGAGTTTACGGGTTTCCATAGAGCTAATTCAGTTTTACGGCTTAATTTTATGCTTATAAGGATAAAATTGCATGAAAATAAATGAATTTGATTCAGGTTTACCCAGAATTACAAAAACTCAAATTTATGCCAATTAAAACTTACAAGGATTTTTCTATACGGCGTACCGTATAGAAAAATCCTTGTAAGTCCGCGGCGTATCGAAAGCGTCGTCGGCGACGCGTTCAGTGGGCGGTCGCCGAGCGCCGACCGATCCTATGTTTTGACGTAATAATACAATTTTTAAACAAAAACAATTAATATCCAAACAAAAACATCTGAGATTTAAAAAAATCGCCATGTAAAAATTTATGATAATATAGACGACGGACAAAAGATTTCTTAGTTTTTCTTTGGTAAAGATAAGCTTGGCGCTTGGAAGCGAAATGCATAAAGTGATAATACAGATAAAAATCTAGTGGGTACCGCTTCCAAGTGCCAAGCTTATCTTTACCAAAGAAAAACTAAGAAAACTTTTGTCCGTCGTCTAAATTGTCATAAATTTTTACTCGACGAGATCTCAGATGTTTTTGTTTGGATTAGGCTGTACTGTATCATTTGCGCACTTCAAAACTGCATCAATGACATTTTCTCATGGAGCTATTGCAAACGGTTTAAAAAATTTTTTTTACCACAACTTAAATTCGGCTTTCAAAATTGCTGGATTTGTAGAAGGCTAATAAGAGGCATAAAATTCACATCTGACGAAAATATTTCATTGCACTTACTATTGGAGCTTAATGCTGTTTTTCGTTCTTAAATTGCCATCATTGGCAATTTTCTTCTTGGTAAATACTCGCATAAAGCAATTCATAGTATCGAAAATTACTAAAATATCTAGTATAACATATAACAGAATATAAAGAAACTTATTAATTAAAAGAATATATAGGATATTTTAAGTTTTTAATGACATATTTTTTATTTTAAATGGTTTAAATGATGAATTTTTAATTGCTATCATAAATTACCTACTGAGAATTTAAATAACCCACTGTGTACCTAGAATTTGCTCTCTGTCAGCAATTAATAATTAAAACATAAAATCTAATAAAATATTAATAAGTATAATAAATATGCAAATAATAAATCCGTGCATTAGAAATTCATGAATGAAACGAAATAATTTAAAAATACAGTACTGTAATTTTCAGCAATGTTACAACTAACTCAGTTGTAACATATTGGAAATATTGCGGATTAGTGCTCTGTTACGACTGCTTAAACTTGAACAATTATGTGAGGGACGAACAGACCCACAATAAAGTGTTATTTTAAATTTTAATTTGGAAAATATAATCGGTTAATTTCGAACGTTTTATCGAGTTAGGCTAAAAGCCATAAAATTTATTTCCCACGGAGTTTGTTCCTTGTTGAGTCGAATCAAGTTAGTCAGGGATGTGTCACCAGGAACTTTTGATGGAGAATCCATATTGGACGTGCGACCGTTAAAGGCCATCACCTGACCTCATGGAAAAAACCCAAGAGAAAAAAAAAAGAGAAAAGAAAACGATCCCGAGGTCAGTCGTCATCCGAAGTCCCTCTACAGAAGTCGTCATTCAAACCCGCCCAACCAAGTCGTTCTCCAAATCATTAAAACCGTGCCCCAGGATTAAAACCGGAACACCGAATTAAAACCGCGACCAGGATTAAACCCGAGAAAAACATTCGTGCTGGATTAAGCCTCTACACTCCTCCGTGCCTCCACCCCAGTGAACGGACAAGATTCTGATTCAAGATTCAACGACAAGATTCAAAGAACTGTCCATCCAAGAACTGTCCATTCAAGATTCAAAGAACTGTCCATCGACAAGGTATTTATCAACCCGCGATTCGGTTGTAAACTCTCTCTCTCCGCGGCCTAGTATAGTTAAGGACAATAATATGCCGATAGTATTTAGTATCTCTGTATAGTATTTAGTTCGACTTAATTAAAATCGTTATTTACTTGTTACTATGGAGTCCGAGTAAGTTACTTCCGCGTCTCTCTCCTCACCTCTACTCCGAATCCAAGCGCTCACACGCTACCGCTCGCGAATCTTTAGACGTAACGTCACGATTTCCGAGTCCCCCAGAGACTCGGTGGTGTCAGATTCAGCCCTCCTGACAGGGCGCCAAAGAGGTGCCGACCCTACGGTCACAATTATGATGAGAAGTATTGATGAAGAGTTATGAAAACGTTTTTATTTTTAACTAGCAGATGAGCCCGGCGTTTCTCGGATAAAAAGTAATGATAGCAAAGACTAAGATTATTACATTATAGCCGATCTTATCCGTTTTCACCGTGTGCAAGAATTAGGTCTCCCCTCTTCCGAGACTAATTAGAAAATTTTTAGATAGCGGCACACCGTGATAACGATAATTAATTTAACCCCTCTCTCTCCCCCGTGGTGGGAATTTCGAAAAATCCCTTCTTAATGTGCATTCTCATGGCATACCCTATTAAAACGCAATCAAAAACGCCAAAAACAGCATCTAAAATAGTATAATAGAAGCGGAGTTCTTCATAGTAGGTTTTAATTAATTAATCCTGTCCCTCTTTCCGTGGGGAAGGGGGAATTTCCAAAAATCCCTTTTTAATGTACTGTACAGTTACAGTACCAAATTTCAACTTTCATCTCCTAACCGTTTGGGTTCTGCGCTTATTATTATTATTATTATTATCATTATCAACCCATCTCGATTATATTATACGATTTTGTACTTATTTGGACAGTACGAAGTATTTTTCAAAAATTAACACGGTTAAAGTGATAAAAGTCAATATTTTTTATTAGAATGAAATTGGATTGATGGGATAAGACGATCTGCCAAAGAGATATCTCTCGGGAGGACTTTCTACGGGAAACTTGCCCATATTTAGGTGTTAGATACGTGAAGAAAACTCGAAAAACTGTACGTAGTAAGGCACAATCCACGAAGTACTACCACTGTTTAATGGTTATATCCACTCACTCTCTGCTGGGCTCTACGCTTGGACATAACACGTATAATATGAATTCGTTACGTTTGATAGAATTAATGTAGCATTTTAAATTAGCTTTAAATGATAAACTTTCGTCGAGAGTCACGGCACTCACTCCGCGCCAAGTAAAACAGTCACCGACTGATTGTACGAGGTAAATGCAGGAGTCAGAGTCGCCGTTTTCGGAGATCGATTTCTTCTCCTTCCAAACGTCTACAGTAATTCTAAATATTTCATTCGAAAAATAATTGTTTTCTTAGGTAGTGTGCAAAGTTTCAGATTTTTCAATAAAGGGGTTGCCAAAATATAAACAATTGAAAATTCAAAATTCTCCAACAGAAACTGTATTTTTTTTTCTTCATACGGCATTGCAGACGCTTGTAGAAAAGAAACTACTAGGTCTAAAAAGCTTAAATTTTAAACTTAAGCCTATCTTGTTATCAGTGAGGTGCTGGCTAAACTTCCGGGTCGATAGGACAAAGTTCACAGAAATTTCTCATAGAATTTTTTGCTTAATTTAGAACTTTTATTGCTTAATTTAATGCCTATGAGGATAATATTTCATCGAAACGAATGATTTTTATTCAAAATGTTATTCAGAATACAAAAGCTCAAATTTCTGCAAATTAAAACTTTTCAGAAAGATTATACTAAACGACGCAACGTATCATAGCATTCGATCTGCAGCCATCGTCGAACGCCGACCGAACTGTACGTCATCGTCTTATGCCTTGACGTATAGCACAATTGTTAAACAAAAACATCTGAGATGTAAAAAATTGCGCCAAGTAAAACATTATGACAATTTGACTGACAGGGCAAACCGCTGAACCTAAAGAAATGAGATTTGGTACACAGTTATTATACTGTACGTC